GTGTGGAGGGGTTGTAAAGGCAGCCCTTCCTCCTCTTATATTCCTAGTCTTTGTTGTTCTTGCTTGCTCCTCGATTTTTCTTTTCTAAATGCATCTTTTCCTCCTTTAACTCCCAGTCATACACCAAGATTTTGTAAAGGGAAAAAATTGCCACTTAGCTGTTCTGAGGTCTGAGGTGTGTGGCTTTGTCAGCTCCGCTGTCACAGGGAGACGAGGCCTGCCTGGCGCCATCCATGCTCACCTGAGGCAATGGAAACTTGCCTTTGTTGTTTTATTAATCGGATGCTGGCAGAGAAGGTCATGTGAAACCAAGGAAGACATCTCTGAACGTGTTCAAACTATAGGAAAATGCTCAGAGATTCCACATGTCGCTTTCTTTCCAGGAAGTAGCTTTATTTTATTAAAAAAGTGATACTGAGGATTGGATCCATCTTACACTTGCACGGCTGGTGTGGGCCTAAGTGGCATTAGCTTTTCCTGTGTCCTGTTTTCTCCAGCCTGTGTACAAAGTCAGTCTTGAATAACCAAGAAGTTGTCTTGGGAGGACTCTGACAATTCCTACTACCTCCAGGTGATACCAGCAAAGCAGCATAGCAGGGGTATGAAGTTTGAAAATCTCATATTCCAGCCCAGGACTGTTAATGCCAGTGTGTGACCTACAGCAAGTTCCTTTCCTTATCTGTACATTAAGGCCAATAATAATGTCTACTGATAGAAGTGGTTTGAAGGGAAAAAAGCCATTACAGAAAAAATACTAAAGTCTGTTTCTGACAGGTAGTAAGTAATCATGTATTAGCTACCGTTATTTTTGCTGTTATTATTCATTAAAATTTAGGATTGATATTTAGCTGTTAACACTTAATCTTAGCCAAAAGGCTGAGAAACAATGGTACTTACCTGTTACCCGTGAGCAGTATCACAAACAAGCCTGTCTGCTGAGCACTGTGTCAGGTGGGCGGCCCTCTGCAGTGGGACTGCTGTGAAGCCCTGGTCTGCAGTGTTTAGAGCATTTATACCTGTGGAGATGAAACCTGTGTGTGGTTTTGAAAAAAGACATGTGGATAGTTGCCATTTTCATGACACTTCCACTTTTAACAAAATCCCTTAAGGCCAATGATTGTGCATTTCTCCATAGCCTTAATAATTTTTTGTAGCAAGCCGCATAGATCCACTGTAAGCTTAGTACTTCTTGATAGCAAACTGAAAAATGATGGAGAATAATACAGCTGCACGTACAGCTCAAATAAGCATTCTAAGGACAGCAAAAGACCAGCCTTTCATCACAACATGCCCTCTGAGTGGAAGAATTCAGTCAATGAGCTAATAATATTTAAACTGGCAAATGCCTTGTTTTTCAACACTGGGACAAGATGTAACAATGAACCAGCATGGTGCAGATGGAGCCGTGATTCTGAAAACTGAGCAGTGATTTTACAGGAATGGAAGTAGGGTCACTACTCCCCAAGAAAGCCTCTCTCCATGGCCCAGTCTGTTCTGGCTCTTGTGGGCACTTGGTAAGGGCTGCTTTCTCTGCCCTCCTTCTTCCTTGTTCTTACTTCTGGAAAGCCCCATCGCATCCTGATTTTTCTACTCTATTCTCCCCTCTTTTAACTCCCAACTACTGCTGGACACCCAGCTCACATACAGAGGTTTGCCGAAAACTCAAGGAAGCTTGGCTACAAGAAACCAACCAGAAAGCTCGACATGCAGGAGTGGACATGTGACATCCACAAAGGTTTCTGAGCTAAGTTTCCTTTTATTAGAAATGAGGCAGCTGTTAATTAATGTAGAGGAACTAGGTGTTAAGCTCCCCACTGTACCCTCATGATTACACAGCAGAGGTTTGTATGAATGAAGATAACTTAGTTCAAAAGCCAAAAATGAAAGCCAGCAGGTATCTAAATGAAGGGCAATTCACAATCCCCTTTCCTCACCATCACCCCAGTTTAGAAACTGTTAAGGTGGTGAAGTGTAAGCAACATGTCCTTTGGAATGAAGGAAACTGAGTTTGAATTTCGGGTCTGCCACCAGCTAGCAGTTGGTCCTGAACTAGGCTGTAGTCTGTTTCCATAGCTGCCAACGGGGTGAGTGAGCTGCCTGCTCTTGGAGGTTCCTGCGAAGGTTAGATGAGGCACCCAATGCGGACATTTGTTCTTCTTCACGTTTCTCACTGACTTACCACAGATGCCCAGTCTGTTTAATCTTCTAGTTGTGTTCTTTAAAGGAGTTCAAACATTTAATTTTTTCTTGCACACAGGGCACAGGCCTGGACACTCTCCTTGCACACAGGGCACAGGCCTGGACGCCCTC